TCTTCAACCTTGTTTCACATGTAATAAATCTTGCACATCCAATCTTACCTTCGCCCCTACTTCTGGAAGACTCAAATGGATACATTAAGAACCACAAAATGTATTTCAGTTAAGAATACAGCTTTCTCATTATCTACTTTTCAAAGTTGAATGTGTGAGGCAAATGTATGTTTTTAAAACAAAACACAGGGCCTTTGGTTTCACATATGAAGATTTAATTAAGAAGTGAAAATTTATTCAGATCTAATGATTTAAACTCACACCCAAGAAGAAACATTTGATGGAGAAAAAAAGGTGGAAATAAATCTATGTTTTGGGGAGTAGCAGAGGGTGACTGAGCAGAGAATAGCTTTGTGAAGTTAGAATCTCATTGTTCACACTTGACATATAATTGATCCAGTTGTAGCAGTAGTATAATTTGAGTAAACTTCCTTGAGTGCTACAGCATGGCCCTCAAGTTTGAAAGCTCAGATTTGATTACAAACATGACAAAATGGATCTTTATATCCTGTAAATGTAATCAACTTTTAGGATGTTAGGCAAACATCAACTTTATGAAGGGCAGGAGGAAATTGGAATTGTTCATCTAATTGCAGAGTCTGAACTGGAAGTTCAAATTGTATTGTTATTTCTAAAAGTGAATGTGACTCTACAGGATTTACCACGGAGAATACTACAAAATCCTAGCATTCCTTAAATTAGTACTGATCAGCTGGTACAGCAATTATTTTCAAGTATGCTCCAAGGGTCATCTCTTTAGGAAAGATAAATCCTCAGGAAACCATGTAACAAGTATTACCTACATTTTAAAGTCAATGAAGGAAAAGATATAGGATTCAAGTAATCTCTTCAATAATAGGATAGACTTTAGCTTTGAGTTTGAATTTGTGCCTTAAATTCCTTTTAATTTGGATAGCCATTAATTTACATTTCTACTTGTAAGCCAATCTATTTTTAAAACTGCCTCCATTTATGTCCAATGTTTTAATGTTAGAATACCATCTGCAGACTTTTTTTTTTTTTTTTGGCCAGGGCCTGGGCACTGTCCCTCAGCTTCATTTGCTCAAGGCTAGCACTCTACCACTTGAGCCACAGTACTACTTCCAGCTTTTTCTATTTATGTGGTACTGAGGAATTGAACCCAGGGCTTCATGCATGCTAGGGGCAAGCACTCTACCACTAGGCCACATTCCCAGCCCATATACAGACTGTAGAACTCTAGAACTGTTCATTTCTAGTAGGCTATCAATAATGAAAACCGTTTTTGCTGTCTGTTCCTTAGAAATAAAAAATGAATATAAAATTATGTTTGAAATAAACTAGCAAAGATACTTTCTCATAGGTTTCTTGACATAAAATAATTTTTCATTTGAGCACTCAATCACTATCATTGTCATTTTTAACATTATTTTGTATACAGAATGCCTTGTAATTAAGTCTATTTTCTGGTGAAATCTGCTTTTCTAAAAACAACATAAAGCTGTTTATTGGATTTTGATTATAGCAAGAAGTGAAAAATATTTTTAATGAAGAATATGAGAGACCTCAGGGTTTTTGTCTCATAGGAAGTGCCTTATTACTTGGATCTATAAAATGATCCAAACTTCAGGGACAGGAAGCTGATGATTTAGCTTCTTAATGGCTTTGGCTCATGAATAAATAATATTTTGTGTTTTTTTTAAATAAAAAGAAATGTGATTTATATGATGAGTCCTATTTGCTGCACTTCTACTTTTTAAAATATTTCTAATTACTGATGTTCTTTATATTTTTTATAATAAGGAATCAAAACTCACTCTGACCACAGTCATTAGCTGAAATTCAGGAAAAAGTTTGATCACCAAATCAATAAGGCTAGCCACAAGCTGACTAAAAGCTTCCTTTAATCTTCCGATTAGATCTCCTTTAAATTAAACCATTCCCTCTATGAATTATTTAGGACCATGGCATTGTTATAGAAAGACCACTTACGACCCTTTATACAAAATGCTCAACAAGCCTAAAAAAAATTCCATTCAGCATATTTCAAGAATCACGGTATGAATAAAGATGTTGCAGGTTTTTTTTTTTTTTAAAGGAGGTGAGAGGGGGAGGACTATGTCCTGAAAAACTGCAGAGTAAAACAGAAGTCATTTATTTCCTGATTAGCATGATTATTGAAGCACATTTAAATATCTGGTCCAGACTAGCTATTAATGATTAAGTAGTTTCCTTTTACTGTCAAGCCTTTTGAGGTCATGCCTAAATTTTAATATTTTATCGTTTCTTTTCAGCTCTATTTTCTTACCAATAAGCCCCACACATTTCCATCATGCTGAATGCTTTCTGGACTGAATTTATCCTTTTCAAATGTTCAACTTACAAAGTCACAAACTTTCTATTTAGATTTCTATCTCCTTACACTTCTCAAAACTTGTTTTATATAGTTTAATAAGTATATTTTACACATTTTTATGAATTTTTGAAAACTGATGTTCTTCCAACTGCATTCTCACAAAAACAAAAGGAGGAAGATAACCACTTTAGGTCCCAAACTCCTCATGATAAAAAAAAATTGCCATGTGGAGTGGCTACTCAGGAGGCTGAGATCTGAGGGTTGAAGTTTGAAGCTAGCCTGGCCAAGAAAGTCCATGAGACTCTCATCCCCAATAAATCACAAAAAAGCCAGAAGCAGCACAATGGCTCAAGTGCTACAGTGCTAGCCTTGACCAAAAAGGAGCCCAGAAACAGTACCAGAGTTCAAGTCCCATGACTGACAAAAAAAAACTTTTCCCTTCAAGATAAATAATCCCCTTCTCAAGCCTTTATAATTTCTACTTCCCAAACTGCAGCAAACACCAAAGAAAAAATACAAAGGAGTCTCTTTCCTGTTCTCATTTAATGGATGCTACAATGCTACACATGGCAACAGTTTAAAAATGTTAATACCTTGAAATTGAAAAAAATTGACAAGCTAGAGAAAATATATCACAGGCAGTCAGTTTGAATTGTATGAAAAGCTACTTAGATCTTGACTTTCATATAAACACTAACATTTAACATTATAAAAGATAACATAATTATATATTTTTTAAAAACTACCCTTAAACAGAATATTCATAAGCTAGTCATCCCATAGATATTTCTACACTGATTAAAAAGTTAGTTCCAAAAGAAAAGTATTTAAAATAATTGTTTCATAGAAACAGAAAGTCATATCAAATTCTGGTTAAAAAAAAACAACAAACAAACCTATACTCATGGGTGGGTAATCTTTACCACACTATTTTTCTTTCACCAAAGACGGGTATTTAGGAAGTGTTACACTGGTTAATATGATGAACATCTCAGTAATCTACAAAAGAGCCACAAGAAAGGTGAGGTAGTGTAAGACTTGTCTGCCTTCGTAAAAGGTAACTAGCATCTTCAGAAGATATTTATCCTCACATGAGTATTATAATGTACCGAGCCTGATCATAGCTACAAAAGGTTCTAGTTTATACCTCTTATGGAGACCAAGTGAATCTAGACCATTGAGAAAATAATGCTAGATTGCCTGGTGCCAATGGCGTATGCCTGAAGTCCTAGCTGCTCTGGAGGCTGAGATCTGAGGATCGCAGTTTGAAGCAAGTGTGGGCAGGAAAGTCTGTGTCTCCTATCTCCTAAGTACAGCTGTGGCTCAAGTGATAGAATGCAAGCCTTGAGCAAAACAAGCTCGGAGACAGTGTTCAGGCCCTGAGTTTAAAACCCAGGCTCCCATTAAAAAAAAAAAAAAAGAGCTAGAAGATGATAACAGATTTTCTTGGTTTCATTCTGTTTGTTAAAATTTTATCTTCAAGCAATTGTTGAAAAATGTCATCTTTAACAGCAAAACTGCAAGATAGGGCAATATATCAATATAAAAGCAGCAATAATTAAGAAACATTGTTCTAACTTGGAACTTTATGAGTCAGAGTTCTCTCAATCCTGGCAAAAAGTTCCTTGTTTAGTTAAATTAGCATCAAGAAATTAGTTATTAATTAGGCTACTAGCTCATGTCTGTAATCCCAGCATTTGAGAAGTTGAGGGAGGAGAATTGAGGATTTGTAGCCTGTATTACAGAGTAAGTTTGAGGGCAGGCTAAGCTACATGGTGAAACAGTTTCAAAAACAAATTTCAATTACTATATTTAAAAAAGGGTAGACAGCTCATCAGAAGAAAAACTGAGCAATCTGTCTAGGTTTACTGGTGAGACAGGATGCCATTTAATTTATTACACTGGCCTAATATTTAATGTTTCTAGAAATGTTGTCCTATTCTTAATAGTAAATTTGCAATGTTGTCATTTTTATCCTAGTGCTCAGTGTGTTATAAGCTTTGGTCTTCCATTAAAGAAGTTCACTCGGAAGATATGAAGAGTTACTTGGAACTTGAAGATAAAAACACTACTAAGCTTCCTAAATATTGAGCTGTAAATGTTCAGTTCCTCAATGTTTATCTAAGTTCAATTTAAAAGAATGAAAGAAACTACTTAGGGACTCTGGCTACCAATGGAGATTTGTGGCTGCTTGTAAACGGCAGAATTTCCATAAAATAACAGGCTCAGAGTTTCAATAAAAGAGGAAAGTAGAAAAAAAATAGCTGCTTTAGCATCTACGAGCTATAATCCTGTTATCATTATTTTTCTTTTTTTCTGGTGGTATGGGCCTTATGTTTACTAGGCAGACACTCTACTTCTTGAGCCAAGTCTTCAACTCTTGTAATCACTATTTCTAAAGCTACCAGTGAGAAATGAAATTTATGTTTGACAATGGTATAAATCTTCCAGGTTGAGAAAGACCTATTCTAGAATGACTCTGACATTTTCTGTAGAATAAATGAACCTTTAGAAAGTCATGTTCTCATTTGATTCTCAGTAAGTTAATAAAAAAAAAAATCTAGCAACTGGTTTACAATTAATAAAGGAAACCCAAATTCTGACCTTGAATGATCATTACCTTCAACATTCCTATTAGCAAATTATATAAAGTCAATTACATTAGTATGGACGAATTACAACACATCTTTACTGAACAACTTTAAAATTCAATGAGAATAGGATGGGTGAACTATATTTTTTGCACAGGAATACTGATGACATAGATTAACAAAATATTTTATATGTAAATGTTTCCTATATGATTTTTACAGAATATTCAAATGCCTTCATTATCTACCAAATTTCAAATACGCCCAGAAAATATATAAAGAAAAAACTTAAGAATACAATCTACACAGTAAAACAAAAACCAAACAGCCAGCTAGTCAAAAATATCTACTAACTGTTCATATACAATGTTAAGAAAAATAAGCTGATCTGGAAATAAAATTAAAGGCAGAGGTTTATCTTGGACTCCAAACTGCCCTTGTAGAAAATTCAAAGGCATAATAAGAAAAATAAAACATTAAATGAAAATACTTATGTAATTATTCCCATGTTCCTACCCTTTTCTTAGCACTGTTGTTCTGGTGCATCGATCCTGAGAACTCTAACTTTTGATTTGTAATGATACTCCTTTAGATATAATTTCATAGTAGAAGGAATTGGAAGGGCATCAATGCCATCGTAAGTTGTACAGTTACAAATAACTGTCCTGCAAATATGCTGCAGGGAAAAAGGAAAAGTCCGGATTAAGGGAGTGGATAAAAGTGGCTCAAAGAACATACAGGCACTTGGGTCCTTATAATGCTCTAAGAGCCCAGTAATGTCAGGAGAATGGAAGACACAAGGATCATGTGCATCAAAACTAAAGTTGTGATTCCACTGCTCAATTCTAGCATGAAGAGAACGACTGTAGCGTCTAAAACTAACAGAAAATAAATAGTCTTCCTGTGCTGAGTCCCGAAGTAAAAAGGTGCCCTCTGGTTTCCCTTCTAGAAGAGCTTCAGCTGCGTATTTATCCATAACTCCCCAGTAACATGGGTTGTTATTGATCTGAAGGAGGTCTGGTACTAGACAATGGACATAGTCAATCTGTGTGTGGTACTTAGGCGGTGCTTCCAACTGAAGGATTTCATCGTCCATTTCCCATTTGGGTTTATTTCTCTTTCTGGAAGTTGTGCAAAGTGTTATGATTTCATCATCTGAGTCCATATCACTATCTTCTATACTGTTATTTGAAACCAGGTTCATCACAGAGCCAGTCATGGGACCACCTCTACATGAAGCACTGTTGGTAGTTATGACACAAGGCTGAACATTGGTATGAGAGAAACAGTTTATATCTTCTTCCAAGCTTCTTCTTTGTCTTAGCTGACCATCCCTCAATTCACTCTGAGATAAGTCTGTGCTTATCCAGTCATCTGATTTGGGACTTATTGGAGCAGTGTGTCTTTTAATAAAATGCCACCTAAAGGCTAAATCTGATCGAGGTGGGAAAGGACACTTATCTAACATAAGTTCACTAATATGAATTTTTCTTTTAGCTGGAAGCCCTGAAGAATGACGACTACTACAGTTCTTTATTGGAAAACACTGCCCAACAGCATCCTGCAGTTTTTGTTTAAGAGATCGCCCTAAAAATCTATGTCCACAGGAATGATCTAAGTCCAACTCAATGGATGAACAGCTGTGCTTCCTTTCTTGGCTCCTTAAAGCAGCTTCAGATTTCTCTACAGCATCCACTGTTTCAGCATCAGAACAACTCTCACTTTTTTTGGACCAAGATAACTTCTTTCCACTCCATACATAACCGTCCTTTCTGTCAGCACTTCGACTCCGACTTGTTTTGGGCCTTACATCTACATTTTTACTATTATTTTCACTACTTTCAGCCATTTTAGCAAATCATCCACAAATTCCAGTGTTATAAATGCTGCTTTTTCAGTTTTGCTGACAGGAAGTTTCTTCTGGTAACTTTCTGGATGAATCTACAGGGGAAAACAAAGCCATTAGCCATTTGTTGTCCATCTAGTTTGCTTATATATATATTAAGCCCTAATCACGCACAAGATACAGAAAACATAATTAGTATATGAAAAAGAGAATAGTAGCTGTGTTGGAAGGCAGTCCCCAGGTTTTTGTTCCTATAATTTCATAGTGCCTTTTCAATGTCAAATATATGGACAAATGTAAATAATTCCTAGTCTTCAAGTAAATCTTATGCCTATCTCTTCTCACTTTGTTTTTATTTAAAAAAAAAAAAACCCACCAGTCAATTCTTCATAAAAGATAGTACAAACCTATGAGTTGGCATTTGAGAATCACTACCCTACACTGTTCCTCTACTTCCTTTCCTATTGAATAAAATATAAAGAATGTACAGTTATAAAGCTGTAAGAACTTATTAAATAAACACTACCAAACATTAGGAGTGCTAAGCAGGCATTCATTTTCATAGTCTTCCAACACATTTCAGTAACTAGTCCACATCACTATCAGTCTATATAGCTTTTAGAAAATACAGATAATTTACACAATTATCCAATTTGAGAGAATTGCATAAAAACTTCGCATTTAACATAGTCCTCCCCCCCCTCTTTTGGTGTTCTGAGACTGAAAACTTATGCTGGTTAATAAAGTCTCTCAGGTTTGTCTGTCTGGGCCTCAGATATTAGTCTGAGGACTGAGTTATAGGCATGAATCATGGGTGCTCAGATTCTTTGTAGTCTGTGTGTGTGTGCCACCTCCAGGATTTGAACTCAGGGCTGGGTGCTGTCCCTGAGCTTTTGTCTTTAAGGCTAGTGCTCTATCACTTGAGCCACAGCTCTATTCCTGGTGTTTTTGGTGGTTAACTGGAGATAAATATCTTATGGACTTTCCTGCCCAGGCTGGTTTTGAACTATGACCCTTAGATCACAGCCTGAGTAAGCTAGGGTTATAGGTATGACCATGTCCTGGTTTGGCTGGGCCCCAGGGATTCTTTTTTTTTTTTTTTTGGTGTGGATCCTGGGGCTTGAATTAAGGGCCTACTAGCTGTCTTTGAGCTTTTCCACTTAAGGCTCCTACCACTTGAGCCACAGTTCCACTTCTGGCTAATTGGTGGTTAATTGGAGGTAAGAATTTCATAGACTTTCCTGTCTGAGCTGGCTTCAAACTGTGGTCCTTCGATCTCAGCCTCCTGAATACCTAGAATTATAGGTGTGAGCCACTGAAGACTGGCTGGCCCAAATATTTTAAAGTGAAATAAGATTTAAGCTAGGAATGGGGGGAATAGGTTGTACAAATAAAAGCTAAAATTCGTGACTAAGAAAATCAATTACTCAGTATTGTCATAATCAAGTTCTGAGATTAACAGAACATTAAAAAGCTCAATAGTCAAGTAATGTCTATAGAAACTTTAATCCATTTTCCAAAGAGTAGGATTTGAAACAAGCATCTATATTGGAAAATATAATTCCCAAGAGTTTAAAAGTATGAACTAGTGGTACAGATTTTCTATATTCCATTTCCAAATACTCTGGTAATTATACTTACAATTTTGATTTAGTGAGTTCAATGGTATATAATCATTCAAAATTCTAGCTGGGCGCTGGGGGCTCACATCTGTAATCTTAGCTATTCAGGAGGATGAGATCTGAGGATCGTGGTTCAAAACCAGCCTGGAAGAAAAGTCTGTGAGAGTCGTCTCTCCAATAAACCACTCAGAAAACCAGAAGTAGTACTGTGGCTCAAGTGGTAGAGCATTAACTTTGAGCTGAAGAGCTGAGAGACAGCACCCAGGCCGAGTTCAAGCCCCACAACTGACAAATAATAAATAAACAAATATTCTAGTTTTACCTGACTGTTTTTTGCTTTAGTTATTTATTTTCCCAGCATTGGCCTTGAACCTTCTATGCTTCCAGAGTAGCAGGGACAACAGGCCCAGACTACTAGGCCCTGCTTGTTGGTTGAGATTGAGGTGCTGCTAATTTTTTAGCCAAACTGATCTTGAGCTCTCATCTCCCTGACTCCATCTCTGCTTCCTGAGCAACTGGGTCTACAGGTATGAGTCACCATGCCCAGTGGGTTGTTGTGCTATTATACTTAAGCTAGTTTTACAGACTAGTTCATAATGAAGAAATCACAGAATACCTCTAGCCCAAACTAATTACAAAGCAAAGATATACTCCCAAGTATTTCTAATTGAAAAAAGATGTATATGCCAAATAGAAATGAGTTTTAATAGACCATAAAGCTACAGAACAATTGAATATATGGTCGCTAGTATTACTATCACTCACTGTTAGGTGGTTATTAGATGCTACTCCTAAGCTAAGAAAGAAGTTTCAAAAAGCTGATGAGTTAAAGCTGCCCTCTGCATTTCTTCATTCACTTTCATTTTACTGAAACTGTGTGCATGATGTTGAAATGGATTTGTGGAAGGTATTATTTTAAACATGAGGATATCTAACATTCTTGTAATGAGATATGATCATTGAAATCTTATACACACAAAGCTTGATGGTTATCTCAAGACAAAGTACTTTAAATAGGTTGATGAATTTTTAAAAAAGTATGTTTCTTTCACAAAATAATAAATGTATTAAATTTCACAACCTTTACTAAGATAACAAGTGACTGTGCTACTTTGCAGACAGATATGTATTTTTATGAGTATGTGCATACATACACTTGTGTGCGCATGCGCGTGTGTGTGCATGCGTGCGCAAGGGTTCTCAGGGCCTGGTACTGTCCTTGAGGTTTTTGCTCATGGCTATCATTCTAACCATTCTACCACCTGTGCCATAGTTCTACTACTGACTTTTCAGTAGTTAACTGGAGAAGAGAAGAGAATGTCACAGACTTTCGTCCTCAGCTGGCTTCAAACTGCTATCCTCAGATCTCAGCCTCCTGATAAGCTAGGATAAGAGGTATGAGCCTCTAAGAGAACATATATTTAATTGGTTACTTCATAATCTATTAACAATTACTGGGAAAGTATAACTACTTCCCTCATGCTAGAGACCATATTAAAAAATATTCAGAATCCCTTCCTCTATTATGAATTTTGTTACAAGAATGATTAACAGGGCTGGGAAGGTGGCTCAGTGGTAGAGTGCTTGCCTTGCATGCATGAGGACCTGGGTTCAATTCTTCAGCACCACATAGGCAGAAAAAGCTGGAAGTGGCACTGTGGCTCAAGTGGTAGAGTGCTAGCCTTGAGCTGAAGAGCTGAGGGACAGTATCCAGGCCCTGAGTTCAGGCCCCATGACCGACAAAAAAAAAAAAAGAATGATTAATAATTCATTATGAAATTTCTCACATCTTTACACTTAAAAACATTAGAAAGGAATTGTATATTTTTTCAGATGTTTCATTAAATTAAAACTCTTCTTTTGTGGTATTGGGGATCAAACCCAGGCATCACAGACAAAGCATGTGCTCTACCACTGAGGAACATTGTCCTCAACCCCCTTTTTTTTGCGGGGTGTGGGGGGGTGCAGGGCAGGGGGGGGAGTACTGGTTCTGAGGCTTGAACTCAGGGCCTTGTATTCTTGCTTAACTTTTTCTGTTTAAGAAAAGCACTCTGGGGCTGGGAAGGTGGCTCAGTGGTAGAGCGCTTGCCTTGCATGCATGAGGCCCTGGATTCCATTCCTGAGCACCACATAAGCAAAAAGAAAAAAGCCAGAAGTGGCGCTGTGGCTCAAGTGGTAGAGCACTAGCCTTGAGCTGAAGAGCTGAGGGACAGCGCCCAGGCGCAGAGTTCAGGCCCCACGACCGGACCCCCCCATAAAAAGAAAAGAAAAGAAAAGAAAAGAAAAGAAAAGAAAAGAAAAGCACTCTATCACTTCAGTCATGCCTTCACAATCAGCTTTTGCTAGTTAATCAGAAATAAGTCTCAGGTATTTTAGCCTCCTGGGTAGCTAGGACTACAAGCCACCAGTGCCTGACCTCAAAATTCTTAAAAATATAAAATTCAGTCACATTGTTCTCAATGAAAATAACTTTTTTTTGGGGGGGGGAGGGAGAGGTCAGTTGTGGGTTTGAATTCAGGGCCTGGACACTGTTCCTGAATGTTTGTGCTCAAGGTTAGTGTTCTACCATTTTGAGCCATAGCTCTATTTCTGGTTTTCTGGTAGGTAATTGGGATATAAGAGCATCACACCTTTTCCTGCCCCAGATGGCTTCAAAGTGCCATCTTTAGATCTCAGGCTCCTGAGTAGCTAGGATTACAGGTGGAAGCCACCAGCACCCAGCCTAAAAGCATTCATGTTAGCGAAGTATTCTACCACAGAATTACAACCCTAGTCCAATTCTTGGACTTTAAACAAAGTTTGGATAAATGAAGTCGAAGAAAAGACATAAAATAAGGTGCTTTACAGTCAATTTGATGTTATATAGAAATCAGAGATAATACTTTGAAAGAAGCCAATGAATTGAAGATGTTGGATAGTTACAAAGAAGTTTTTTTCTTAAAGAGGGTGAAAAAAATCATTCCAGAGAAGCTGCCGATCCAATAATTCATTTTTAATGAAGGGAGCTATGTTACACATGACTCTGGGGAGTAAACAGTGACATTAAAAAATCATTATTTCTTAGTGAACAAGAGGCAAATGTTTAAAAAGCTAGTTTATATAAAAGTAGTTTCAAGAAGAAAATTTGCAGATTCTGTAGATATTTGGTCTCACGTTCTACCACTAACTGTAATAACAAGGACAACAAAATCAATGATGGCAAATTCACAAACGAAAGATTTAAATAGTAGTTAAGTTCTATTGAATAAGGCTGGGTAGGTAATTTTAGTTCACATCTTATATAGAAAATACTTAACAGGTAGAACTTTATCTGAAAAATTTATATCCTCTATGATGGTTAACAAAACATCATATATAGATGGACACTTGTGGCTCATGCTTGTAATCCTAGCTACTCAGGAGGCTGAGATCTGAGGATTGCAGTTTGAAGCCAGCCCAGGAAGAAGAATCTCTAGGAGACTCTTAGCTCTGGA